TATTTCATATATCTTTTATAATATATTTTTTTATATTTTACTAATAACTACAAATTTTAAGCACATTTATATTACTTTATTAGTTATTAACAGAATGTGCACAAAAAAGCTATGTAAAAGAGTTTATAAAATTATATCTTCATAAATTTAAAAAAATTCAATTTTAATATATGATTCTCTCTAATAGATTATTTACGAAATTCTATTTATTTATCGTTATTAAGAATAAACAACAATGTATCACGATTAGTGCAAAAACATGTTTTAAATTTTGATATTACATTACATTAAAAAGAAATACTTTAACGCGGAAACCTTATGATAAAATTATAAATAATATTAAGATATATATGTACGCTGAATGTATTCGCGTCGCTGTCCGATCAAATCTTAATAACTATGAGTAAAAGTATTAATTGTTTTTCATTCTTTTCGATTGCTATCACGTAATTAATAATCTGTAAACCAATTTTATATTCTTATATGGAAGCAAAAACATTGGCACTATTATTAAAGTAGTAATATTAGTATTATTAGTAACCAATGTAATTATTGTTAATATTATCATTATTACTGCAACAGACTTTATCGATCAATCTGCATCAAAATTAGTACAAGGGCATTAACGTAGAATACATGCAGCTTTTTTTGTAAGTATTATAAAACGCGATATATATTTATTTATTCAGCTTTAATAAAAATATAAATGTTATAACTTATACGATCTTACTATCAAAAAAGCTGAATCGGACGTCATGCGGATGTCATCGATATTCAGATTTTATACGATGTGAAAAATAAGAATTGTTTAAATGTAATAATGCAATCAAACACGTGAAATCAAATGTATAGTTTCATACTTTAAGGCAATTATGCTTTATACGAAGTGTCATAATAACACAATTTTAACACAGTTATAAATATATTTATCGTTACACATATCTACCACAAAATTGTTGATTATAAAACGTATAAATTACATTTATAATGATTTATTTTATTAATATAATTTGAGCTTCAAGTACATATTATATTTGTAGGATTATATATACATAAGAAGCACACATATCTTAGCGAATAATTTATAAACAGCTTATAATATATTTAAATGCGTATTTTTTTATGAGAATGTCATATAAGAAAACTCAAGATTGAATATTTTAAAGCGGAAGCGTTACAATATTATAAGTAAATTATGGCAGAAATTTGATAGCCTTTTTTATGACTTTCCAATTTTTATCAATTGTAAAAAATGCGCAATAATTATTTTTCAATAATTGTCTGATAAGATAGTGTGTATTAAAACTATACATTATTAATTAATTACTCCAAGAATAATGAAGCAGTGAGAGTTTGATTCTTTTTGAAGAAAAAATGTATCCTTGTCATATATAATTAAGCATCGCATGACATATAATTATATATACATATATATCTATATTTTTATAACAATGGTTTGAGACTCCTACGTGGGATGCCATTATGTATATTTTATGCGCGAAATAAAGGAAACATCTTTGCAAGAATTATGTTGTCTCTATTCAGTATAGGTCCCGCGGGTTACTGAAATGCGCACAAGACGAGTAACATACGCGTTACTACATATTGCCTTTCCCTTTCCCCCTCATTACTATAATTAGTCATCTCAAATTGTTCGCGCGACGGGGGAGGTTACATAAATTCGTATACGCGGCCTACGTGCGATCATCGTTTCGCGATTTATAGTTGCGTGTATTTCGCAACGAGCGAGCGAGACTCTTGTCTTCTGACGGGACGGGCCGAGTCATTCGACGGGCAAATGATTTTGCGGATTCCCAAGGCAGTGACGTTACATTAGATAAACGTTGCGAGAATCATACTCTGCGGTTCGTTCACGCGTCTTAAATTGTCTGACATAGGTAACTGGGTCGTACGAAATGCCTCATCCTGCTATTCACATCGTTCTCGTCGGATTGTTTCAGCGCTACGTGACGCGTCGAGAGAGAAAGAAAAATGACACTTGATCATCATGTGCGGGTGTCAGGTGCGGATGAAAATATGCGGATGAAAATACTACATGGGCGTCCTGTAATCCGTATATCTTCGAAATAGCACAGTGATTCTACTAGTTTTAATGTTTTCGCGCGTATAATCAAGCGCTCGTGTTTGTAATGAAAGGAGTTATATGCAGGACCAATTAAACTTTGGTCTGGAGCACACATACCTTCGGGCAAGATAACAAAGGTCAATGGCTAATTAACAACGCACAAATTACAAACGTAATTTGTGTGCATTGCTGCGTCGCAAATGTACTGTATATTGCAGCAAGTCTACGTTATAAACGATTTGATAACAAAAACTAGAAATTATAAAATCTTGAATCATGACCACGAAATGTATCGCCGAGTTTAGTATCAATTAACATCAATTTTAATATCAATTAAATAATAAATTTAATATTAATTAAACGATAAATTATATGAGTTGTTTCATTACCATAAAAATAACTTTTTATAGTTGGGAAAAGTTGTAAAGATATAAAAGGCTATCAAATTCACTTATGACATTAATTGAAAGAAGAGTTTAGTTACTATTAATGCTATTATTAATATTAAATAAGTACGTGTTTTTACATCAAATATTTTCTAAGCAAGATTAAATTCAAGTTTATTAGAAAATCCATCATCGACATATTTCCTGATAATGTGCGTCAAGTAAATCTTCTTCCTGTTCCATTAAGAAATAATGAAAATATTACAAGATAAAAGCGCGATGCAGATTGAAAATGTATAACGTAATACATTATGAATCACTTTGTGAATACATAATGGATGAATCCAGTACGAAATGTGAATTATGTTTCGTCAGCGTGCTACGACGAAGGTCTCGCAAATATATGTATCCGCGGATGTCTCGCTCGCGCTCTTATTTAGTACAACGGCAAGGCGGACGATCGTGCGAAAAATGTGGAAATTAATGAGAAGGCGCCGCACATGCTCTCTACCTGGAAATTACCGGTCCATGACGCAAGCCAACCTTGAATGGCACGCGGACCATCCCGCTCGAAAAGTAGACCATTGGAACGGCGATAGTGACGGATCACCTGTTAACAGATCTGATTTACAGCTCGACCTTTTGCAGCCGGTACCGATTCCGCCATCGACACGCAGCGTTGACTATTTTCGTTGCGGGAAAGTATATATGGATACGTATATATACACTGCATCTCTACTATCGTTTTTCTCTTAACCATCATTACCATATGTATAGTTAATTGGCGTAGGTAATTGAGCTCATGCATAAGAGGAATAACTAACGAATCGAGCAAATTCTATTCAAAGATGATTGTATCAGATAGAGAAGATTTTAGACGCAATTTACGTGATACCTTTACAAACTAACAATTTGTTACTCTGTAAGAAATATTCTGCATCATGTAAATTAATTACATAAAAATAATCAAAATATATATAAAATATTCTTATGGGAAAATAGAGTTTTACATATTAAATTAATTTAAACACAAATCACTTTTACTTTTACAGTGATAAACATATATAAATTATACAATAAGAAAATATATGCTTCTTTCAGCTTTGTCAAGAAGAGAATTTAAACGAGAATACTATCGCGTGCGAGTGGTTGTCGAGCTTAAAGTGAAAAATATTATCGTGTAATTGTGCGGTGCGATGCACGTTAATGGTAAATTGTACTTTTAAAAATTAATATTCTCCTCTTGCATAATAACCCCGTGCACACTCAAAACGTAATCTTTTTTGCAATTTGCTCGCCGCCTCGGGCCATACACGCGTATACCTTATACAGGGTATCGCTCGATGGGGCACGCCGACGCGGCGATGACGAAATTTGTCAGCTCTTCAACTACCGAGATGCATTATTGCATCTCCGTGATACGATAGGGACGATGAAACCCGCTGTCACGAGAAATAGGACGAAAAACAGCAGCAGATGGTGCAGCCAATATCGCAAGACGATTTGTGCAATTTCTGTAGATTGTAAATTGCACAAATGACCATGTATTACGGGATGTTCGGTTAAGGCAATACATTTTGCATCTGTAAATTTTTCAAATCACGGACTAAACATTTGCCTCATGGCGCCGCTATAAGATCGATGCTCTTTGAGCTGTCGAATTTATAGGATAAATAAAATTGTACGTACGCGCGCGCGATGCAAGATATTTGCGTCTCTTCAATACAGATTTTTAACGAACTTGGAAAGCCACCTCTTCTTAAAAATATTATATTTTTTTATTCTATCAAAAAGTGTTTTTTTTTAAATTTTATTAGAAAAAAAACGTTTTTTATGTTATGAAAATTCTGTCGCAAATGATGATTCAGCGTAGAGTTAATTTAAGATGAGATAATATGAAACTGGCATATATAAATATAGAATAATTATTTCGGTATTCCAATTAGAAACTTTACAATAGTGGGTAGTAATTGTGATGAAGCAAATCAAGAAAGGCCAAACGAGTTTCAATTAGTGCGTGTCACGCCAAACGTCGCGCAACCGGTTTGCAGGGGTTCAATAACCGTCATTGCCAGGGTCGATCACGGTACATTAGTACGCAACAGACGCATTGTCGAAACCGGTAATTTGACTTCCGCAAACAATGCGACGTATTGTCATACGTACCGTGACATCGAGGCTGCACATGCAGAGTTTATTACAAACAGGTTGGTGGATTTAATTCGCGTGAAAAACGG